TTTTTTGAGCTGAGGACCGAACCCAGGGCCTTGTGCTTGCTAGGCAAGCGCTCTGCCACTGAGCTAAATCCCCAACCCCGCTTTTTGGGGAATTTTGTCATAACAATTAAAAAAAAAATGACTAGCGGCTCACACAGGCTGGTAGGAGTCAGCATCCACGATGGGCCTTCCGCAGAAGATGATTTCGCTTCCTATGGTGGCCGAACTCCAAGATTTTCCCAAGAGCGACACTTGGGGGCTCAGCAGGGTCCAGCGGTCACTGCCGTCTTCAGAGCATGGGGAAAGCGAATCTCTCCCAACATCCTGCTTCAGGGGTTCCTGGAGGGCGGCAAGAGGGATGATGATGATGATGAGGAGGAGGAGGAGAGGAAAAAAGAGGCATCCAAATGGAGTCTGGCTCTCTCTGGAGAGCATTGTGGCTGAGAATGCTCGTTGGCCCCAGTGTTGACTCCGCCATGATTTCTTGGACTCCCGAATTTGATAGGCCAATTCGCGGCCCCTGGAGGAAGACTATGACCTTATTCTCCTTTGAGGCTAGGTGACCCCATCTTAGATGATGCAGTTGGGACTTGTTGGGCCTTCCAGGGACTTTTCTCTAAAAGACCCTTGCTTTTACCTCATTTGTCCTACACTCCGGAGCTTAGATGTGGTGGCTGGGATCAGGTAGTCCTTTCTGACAACGAAGTGAGCACGAAAAGGGAGTTTTTATATGGTGGCCGAATGATGTCGAGGGAGCCAGGTTCCCTGAGGCTCTGCAGTTGCTCTTATTGATTTGGTTTTTGGAGCCGGCCTATGTAGAGCGGCCTGGCCTCTAAGCTGCAGTGGTCCTCTTCTTTCCGTCTCCTGAGTGCTGGGATTACTGGCGTGCACTTATTGGCTTGCCACTGTATTAAAGTCCATGCTTTGTTGGTCTCAATGGTTCCCAGTGAGTATTCTGCTATAAAAGGAGTATAATCGAACTCTGAGTAAGCCATGAAGATTCAAGTTCTCCTGGGTGTGGGCATTCCAAAATACTGCTCTCAGATGGATTTCTCTCTAGCTCCTATCCCGTGAGACTCTGGGGGGTGGAAGGAGATGGATGGCCCAGCTTTGCCACCTCCAGCGCCTGATTTAGGTCTTCAGTAAGGCCCAGGCTTGATGACATTTGGTTCTGAAGAGAGCTGGTTTGACTCCAAGGCTGTGGTTGAGAAGGGGGTTTCTGGGAAAGAAGCAGGCATTGACTGGGTCCGTCACAGGTGTCACCCCATGGAGATACAAAGGGACCCACAGGGGCTAAAGCACTCTTTAGAGGCGGTCCAGCTGGGGCTGACCGAGCATCTCGCTCGCTCAACAGTGTCTCCCAGGGAGTGGACCCATCCTTACACTACCTTTCTTTCTGTTCCAACAGCCCAGGGCCACACACCCATCCGGGAGCAGACAGTGCCCCGATCCTTCTCCTGAGTTCTCAGCTGTGTGCTTGCTACATATTTTAACTAAAGCATTTAAAACCGCTCAGAACCCAGCACCCATCACCATGGATACTCATCACTGAAATCCTTTGTTGTCATGGCAACCTTCCACCCTTCACCCCCCCCTCCACACCAGCCGCCCCCCCATCCCGCCATCTTGCTGGTTTTTCCTGAAACTGACACACTGGTTTGGGTGAATGATGGGGTACATTTAAAGAGGCCTCAGAAACACGGGCTGTCGGCAGGAAGACAGGGTATTTTTCCATTATTGTAATAAGTCCATTTCACGCCCCTGTTTAGGCAGGATAGATGGCTGTGATTACAAGGACAAAGACGGAGATCAATGCCGACTTAAGGCTGCAGCAAGCCCCTTTGTCATCCTGCAGGTGATTTTTAAGAACCATCCTGGGGCATTGGAAATGCAGCCAGGAGGGAGCAAGGAATGGCAGGCTGCCCGCCTGCTGCAGCTCCCCAAACCATTGTTCTGACGGGCTTTTAGTGGTGTCGCCATAGTATCTTCCGAATGTGAGATAAGGAATTGACACTTGCTGACAAGAGGGGAGAGGAGGAGGGAGGGGAGGGAGGGATGAGGAAGGGGTAGAAGGGTATGAGGGAGGGATGAGGGAGGGGAGGAAGGGGATGAGGGAGGGATGAAGAAAGGAGGGAAGGGGAAGGGAGGAGGAAGAGGATGAGGGAGGGGAAGAAGGGGATGAGGGAGGGATGAGGGAGGGGAGGAAGGGGATGAAGAAAGGAGGAGGGAAGGGAGGAGGAAGAGGATGAAGGAGGGGAGGAAAGGGATGAGAAGGGATGAGGGAGGGATAAGGGAGGGGAGAAAAGGGATGAGGGAGGGATGAGGGAGTGGAGAAGGGATGAGGAAGGGGAGGGAGAGGAGGAAGGGGATGAGGGAGGGATGAGGAAAGGAGGAGGGAGGAGGAAGAGAGGAGGAAGAGGATGAGGGAGGGATGAGGGATGGGAGGAAGAAGAGGGAGGGGAGGAAGAGGATGAGGGAGGGGAGGAAGGGGATGAGGGAGGGGGAGGGAGGGGATGAGGGAGGAATGAGGGAGGGGAGAAAGGGGATGAGGGAGGGGAGGAGAGGGATGAGGGAGGGGGAGGAAGGGGAGGAGAGAGGGATGAGGGAGGGGAAGAAGGGGAGGAGGGAGGGGAGGAGGGGGAGGAGGGAGGAATGAGCATTTCCCATGGCACATTTCTTGCCTGCATTGGAAAGAACAGGTCCAATATGGCTGTATACTCACCTGTTGGTGGAACTAAGGTGGAGTGAGTGAGAGAAGGTACAATTGGCAACAATGACAGTGTCTGTGCCCGGAGCAGGGCTGGGCAGTGTGGAGGAGGGTTTGACCTCTTAGAGACTCAGAGAGGTCATTGGACTAGAAAAATCTGGGAACTCCCAGGCTGACCAGAATTTGAATGGGATTCTGGGAGATCTATGGCTGTCCTTACATCCTCCATAAAGGTCCCTTACCTCCAAGTGTAAAATAGTATGTCCCATCTTTTTCCTCCTCCTCCTTCTTTCTTCTTCTTCTGAGATAGCCTCAAAGCCTGAGTGCTAGGATTACAAGTGTGTGCCATCATGCCCCGCTTTTCAGTTTGGTCTTCAAGACAATGGAAAATCCCAAAGTTCAAGGATGGGGACATGGCTCAGTTGGTACAGTGTTTGCCCGGCATGCACAAAGCCTTGGGTTTGATCTGCAGCACCACCTCAAACCAGGTGAGGTGGTACACGCCCTCCATCCCAGTACTCGGGAGGTGGAGGCAGGAGGGCCAAAAGTTCAATGTCATCTTTGGCTACATACTGAATGTGAGGCTAGCCTGGGCTACAGGAGACCCTGTCATATGCGATTAAGCACCTTCATCAGAGGTTGCAAAGGATGGGGACAAGTTTGAGGGTCGGCTTCAGTTTTGCTCCTGATATCAAGGTTGGGTATTTGTGCCCTAAAGACACAGACAGGACGCTGTGAGGCTCAGACCAAGCCTGGGCAGCCATTGGCCATGGAAGCCGTAGTTAGAAACTGCCCACACTGCAGTATGGTAGGAATCCTCCTGCCTCCATCCCCTAAGTGTTGAGACTGCAGGCATTCAGCACCACTTCTGGCTTTGTTAAATCCCTCAGTGACTGATTTAGTTTTTCTGGCACGAATCCCAAGCACTCGGCATCCAGTTGTTATTTTTAGGCTCTGTGTAAGAAGAAAAAAAAAAACCAAAACAATTTTTAAAATACTAAATTAAAAGCTCTTCTCTAGCAGGAAGTGACCACGCCCTCGGAAAGCCAGCCCACCTGCCACTGTGGTCCCTGGGGCAGTTTGCCTGTTCCTCCAAGACTGAAGGCAGTTTCTGGAATCCCATCGCCTGGGGTAGGCTGTGAGCACAGCCTGTGTGCTGTGTTACCCCCAGAGGGGCCATCTTTCAGCCCATCATTTGTCTTGAATGCCTGCAGAACCACTCCAGGACCCATCAGGGGACAGGCCCTAGGATGGGCAAAACCATGCTACACACCACATTACCTTTAACTGGCTTCCAAAATGACATGTCTCCCTCAGGGAATGTCACCGGCAATTACCGTTGCCAGCAGAGGACTCTGGACGCTGCTCCTGATTCTTTCCCTCTCCTTCCCCATCTACCCATCATCCACTTCTCCCTGCCAGCCAGACCACCAGGCTGTGAGATCTCCTGCTGCTCCACGCTACAGGCTGGGAGCTGGGCATCTCGATTCCCACGTCACCTGTGTTTTATTCTTCAATGAAGGATGGGGCGGGGGCTATATAGGAGCACCCCAACAGCTCCCTGCGACAGACATTGTGGGTACCCTGTCTACCCCTTTGTATCCTTTCCCTTTCCTGTTCATCTTTCCTCTCTCCTCCTCTCCTTCTTGCCTCTTCCCTCCCTCCCCTCCCCTTTCCCCTCCCTCCCCTCCTCTCCTCTCTTTTCCTCCCCTCCCCCTTCCCCTCCTATCCTCTCCTCTTGTCTCCTCTCTTCTCCTCCCCTCCCTCCCCTCTCTTCCTCCTGCTCCTCTCTCTCTGTCTTATGGTAATTCACTCTACCGACAGAGCCATGCCCACAGGCCTCCATAGTACACATTTCTGGGCCCACGTGTCTATGGCATCACCGTTGACTGACAGCCTGACCCTTTTTCTGTTAGTACTAGAAACTGAACGTAGGACCTTTTGCATGCCAGCCAAGGACTCCGTCACTGACCCACTATTTGTTTATTTGAATAGTTATTTATTTAGAGGCAGGGTCTCACACTGCGGCTCAGGCTGGCCGGTGGCTACTCACTCTGTAGCTCAGGGTGGCGGTGAACTTGAGATCTTCTGCCTGGGGTTACAGGTGTGCACCACCTGACCCAGATTCAGCCTGGACCTTTATCTGGCTACCTAAAGGATGCTCCTTGTGCATCCACCAATGTCACCATTGACTGGGACTCCAGTGAGTGTTCTCCTGGGACTTCAGGCTCCATTTGGATGCGGTTGTCCCAGCAGTAACCTTGAGTGACATGTGAGTGTGCTGCTTCTGTCACCTCCTTTCATCTCCCCGTGTTTCCTGAGCCCCACAAAGTCCACCTCACAGTGTTGATCAGGGGTACAGCTGGGATTCCCAGTAAGGACATTCACCACTACATTGAAGACAATGTACAAGATTGTGGCAGCACAGGCTAATAATCCCAGCACAGGGGAAACTGAGGCAGGAGGATTGAGTTTCTTTTTCTTTCTTTCTTTCTTTCTTTCTTTCTTTCTTTCTTTCTTTCTTTCTTTCTTTCTTTCTTTCTTTCTTTCTCTCTCTCTCTCTCTCTCTCTCTCTCTCTCTCTCTCTCTCTCTCTCTCTCTTTCTTTCTTTCTTTCTTTCTTTTTTTAAGACAGGGTTTCTCTGTGTAGCTTTGCACCTTTCCTGGGACTCACTCTGTAGCCCAGGCTGGCCTCGAACTCACAGAGATCCGCCTGCCTCTGCCTCCTGAGTGCTGGGATTAAAGGTGTGTGCCACCACTGCCCGAATGGAGGATTGAGTTTAAGGCTAACTTGGGCGATATAGCAGAACTGTGTCTGAAAAAACAAAACCCCTTGCCCGAATCCAATCCCCCCTCTTGTCCTCATCAGGACACTATACTTTTCTCATCATGGGGCAAAGGCAGGTGTGAGAGCTCCCTCCACCCCCCAGTTACTTCTGGGTTCCTGTAGGCAGTATTTCCATAGCACCCTCTCTCACCCGTAGCTAGAGTTTTCCTGCCTGGCCCATAGTCAGGACAAATCTCTCTCACCCGCCAGTCCTGCAGCTGCTTAGACCCAACCGAGTAAACACACAGAGACTTATATCGCTAGACTCACCCCCACCCCCGCCCCTGGCAGCCCCCCTTCCGGTCTTTCTTCACAATTTCACCATGTGGTCAGATATATTTATTTGTCTTTTCATTTGTTTAGTGCCTGCGTCCCTACCCAAGGCTGTCAGCCTGTGCTAGGGATTGGAAGAGAAATGTCCCCTTGTGGTTTGGACACTTGGCCCCCCGCAGCCAGTGGCACTATTTTGGGAAGTTGTGGAGCCTTCAGGAGGTAGAGCTGGAGGAACTGGGCCACACGCAATTTCACATTCCCTGGGATGTGAAAAGCCACCTGCAGGTTCCCATCACTGTAGACTCAGCTGCTCTACCAGGTCCAGCCCACCATGATGGACTAGAACCTTCTTTCTTCAAGTTGTCTCTGAAGGTCCTATGGTCACACAGGTGTAGAAACGATTGACACACTGCCTTAGTCACTGTTCTATTGTGAAGAGACACCATATGCAAACTTTTTTTTTTTTTTTTTTTTTTGGTTTTTCGAGACAGGGTTTCTCTGTGTAGCTTTGCCAAACTTTTTTTTTTAAGAGTCTCTCCATGTATCCCTGGCTGTCCTGGAACTCACTTTGTAGACCAGGCTGGTCTCGAACACAGATCCACCTGCCTCTGCCTCCCTGAGTGCTGGGATTAAAGGTGTGCACCACCACTGCCTGGCTGCTATTTTTCATAGCTTTACTGGCCATTTGGATATTTTCCTTTCTGAAGTATCTAAAATAA